CCAGTTTCTCCACAACCTCGCCAGCATTTGTTGCTTGCTGTTCTGTTAAATTTTCCTATTCTGACTGGGGTGAGATGATATCTCATAATTGTTTTAATTTGCATCTCTCTTAGGGCTAGGGATTTTGAACATTTCTTCATGTGCTTGTTAGCCATCTGAATGTCGTCTTCGGTGAAGTGTCTGTTCATATCCTGTGCCCATTTTAGATTGTTAGTTTTCTATTGCTTTGCCCGTTTGCCTACGTGACCCATCTCTGCTTGGATTTGTAGTATACACTTCAGAGTTCACGTGCCCAGTGCTGTACTGGCCCCAGCCCAGCCGCTGGCCCACTCACACTCTGTTCTCAGCTAAGAGAAGGTCCATGCAGCTGAGTGATCACCTCACAAGGTGGATGTTATCTTTGGCTTTCCTGTTTCCCAACAAGTTCTGCAAGTTCTAACTTCAGAGTGTCAGCAGAATCTGATCAGTCCTTCTCTGCCCTCTTAGGCCAGCCGCAACCCTACCTTCTCATTGACCCCTCACTTTGTTCCTCCTGCTCCTTGCCCGTCAGGCCCTTCTCACCACAGTCACCAGGGTCAGCCTCCAGGTCATCCTCATACCGTCAGATCCGTTCTCATCGACACTGGAATCCACTGGTCTTGGAAAAACATGCTATATCTGAATGTGGTTTATGACTTCTTGACTTTACAAAGAATTCAGGTAGTGGCAGATACTTGTGTTAAACTGGAGGGGTTCAGGCACTCTGGTGGCTTAATAGCCCAACAGTTAACTGAAAAGGTTAGCGGTTTAAACCCACCAGCTGCTCTCTGGGAGAAGGATGAGGCAGGCTGCTCCCTGAAGCCTGGGCTGAGAAGCGTATAGTGCAGTTCTCTGTCCCTCATGGTTACTAGGGCTGGAATTGGTTGCTAAGGGTAGAAGTTTGGCTTTTCGTTTATAAGGGGCAGGTGTGTTAGAGACTGTGAGATTGGCTCAGGATAGAGCAGGGTTCAGAGCTGCCGTGCACAGGGTCGCTGTGAGTTGTAGTCAACCTGACGGCAGATAACAACAGCAATTCCGAAACACTGGGATATGGCCCACAAGGAATCACAAGCATTTGGAATTCCCTAACCTGTCTTTCATTTAATGAGAAAGATTTGAAAGTTATCTGTAAAACTGAATGAATGCTGGAGAACGTTGAGTTTCTGTTCATGATGGTGGGATATTTGGGGGAAAGGCTGCCATTAATGGAGACCTAACATGAAGAATATAATCTATGATGTGTTGTGGAAGTTGTTCTGGTGAATGATATTTGTATTTTCACTGCAGTTGAAAAATGACTGGATTGTAGGGCCACCGTTGTAGAATGGGACTGACATCTGGGTTGAGGGAGGACAGAGAAGGAGGGGAGGAATGATGTATACTGTATTGAAACAGATGAGGGAGAGAACTGTTTCAAAGGCATATATGATTAGGTGTTATTGTCATGACAGGAGTCCAGAATGAAGGCTGCACAGTGGAGTGGACTCGAGGGGAGGGATTGCATAACAATGAAAGTTTTTCTTTTACTTTTTGAGAAGAGTGAATAGGGAGGAGGGCAGGGAGAAAAGTGCAACAGTGAATGTCTGGAAACCCTAAGTCTCTATAAACTTTCCTTAAAATAAAAATAAATAAATAACATTTATTTAAGTAAAAAAGAAATGACTGGATTGAATGCTCAGAAAACTGCGTTTATTTCCGTGCCTCCTCCTCCTGCCTTTCCTCACTCCTTTCCTCTCAGTTGGGGCCATAGACGCTTTTTGCACAGGTTTTTGGAGGCTGTAAATTGCACGGGAAGAGATTGCCCGTCACTCTCCTTTGGAGCCTCTGGTGGGTTCCACTGAGCAGAGGGCAGTCGCATTTGGGTAGCAACACGGCTCCCTACAGGCTACACACACACACACACACACACACACCACCCCACCCCCGGTCTCTTCTGACTCAGCATCTCACTCCCCTTACTAGCAGTAAAGCTACTCAGGGAGCGTATTCTTCGCAGGTGTTCCCATCCTTGGAATATATGTCATTATAGACTTAGAAAGCACTTTGTTCAAATTTCACCCAAAATCACTCATGTATGTTGCTTGCTGCCAGCTTGACAATTAGATTCTTTTGATTCCACCGCTTTTCAGTGTCAGGATTTGCTCTTTTTCCCCATTCAATTGTACCTTTGTGTGAAGCGTGTGCATGTTTCCTATAATGACTAGAGTGGAGCCCTAGAAAAGGCTTCTCCGTCTCTGCCCCCAGCACTGCCCTGCTCACCACCAAACACTGCTGTGCAGTTTGACTCTGGGGGCCCCAGAGGACAGGGTAGAATTGCCCATGAGGCTTGCAGGGCTGTAGTCTTCACAGAAGCAGACTACCTCATCTTTCTCCAAGATGCAGCTGCTGGTTTTGAACCACCAACTTCTTGGTTAGCAGCTGAGTAAAAACTGTACCTTTGCTCATTGCTGTTGACCTTTTTTTTTTAAATTTTTGACAGTTTTATAACTTTATTTGACCATCAGCTATTAGTTTTCATCCACATTGACGGTCTGTAGATTTTTTAAAGTGGTGACAGGCACGTAGGTAGCCAGTGTCTATAGCTTGTTTGGGGACTTTTCATCCTCAGTACGTTTTCTGGACAACTGTACACAGATGTGGTGTGGGACATTCCTTATTCCTTTGGCCCAGACAGCTCTGTTAAGCCTGGTGTCAATGCGAACATCAGGTGTTCCCATCTCCTTCATGGCAGATTTCCAGATCTCCTTGAGGGCCCGAGGAGCTCGCTTCTTAAATCCCACTCCATGAATGCGCTTGGTCACCACATCATTGATGGCAGAACAGCCTTTATTCTCACCACCCTTCTTTGCAGGGACCACAGCGCTGGGACCAGCCTGGGAAAGCGCTGTTTACCATTCTAATAGTTTTCCATTTATCTTTCTAAGCTAGGTTTATGCTTACTTCTTTTGTATTTTGTTTTATACTGGCTTTTTTGTATGTTTGCATTGTGAGTTAATTTGTATATAAGTTGGTTGTTTTTTTTTAATTTTTTTTATTTTATTTTATTA